GGTCTCAACACGAACTATATTCTGTTACACAGAGCTGTGTTTGGATCTTTGTAGATGGAGGTAGAAAAAAGACACATATTTATATCAGCAGTGCTGTATCAACAAGGTTCATCCATGACCAGCAGATCTCCGTGAGGTTTGGGTATGTATATTTTTAAAATCTGATAGAGCCTGTTTGAACATTACAAATGTATTACAATACTTGTTCTAGCTGGTTGGTGAAAAGCATGAAAGTGAATCACCTAAAAAAAAATAATAAAAAAAAAGCAGGTATCAGGCTAGCAGGAAAAATACCTGCATGTTTGATATTACTGGCAAAAAGGATATTCCAAGATCTGTTACGAATAAAAATGGCTTATCTCAAATATTTATTTAAACTGTTCCCCAGTCAATAGAAAAGAAAATGGAAAAAACCTGCATTGTAACATCCACTTAAAACAAGTATTTTGAGATGAGTACTCTATTTGGTTGGAAAAAATCATTAAAAATTCAAGACACAGCAATATAACTGAGTGATGTGTTCTAACAGGCACAGCTGGTTGTTGTTACAGGGGCTGGGAGAGGTCAATGCTGCCCTTAGCCTGAGAATGATGGCAGCACTACTGCCTACTGCTTGTAGATGTGTACAAAGTTCCAAGGAGCTCCTTCTCCCGATTAAAAATCCTTGTACATATGAGAGAGGAGGGTACTGCAGCTCCCAGCCATTGGGGGAGTGGAAATCCCAAAGATGGGAACAGGCCCAGCTGATGCTGTTTTCCAGAAGGCAGCAGTCCTGGGTGGAGCTGGCATTTCCCTGCTTTGCTCTTAGCTCATTACTATTTTATTCCCTTACTGCATTTAGGGATTTCTGGTCCAGAGTCTGCTCTGTTTCCAAGAGGACTTTACCTGAATAGAGGTTTGATGTTCTCTGGGAAGGATAAGGACTGAAGACTGTCAGAGACACTTCCTGTGCTCAGTGCCAAGGCTCAGAGATGGAGCCTCTCCCTGCCCTGGGGACCAGGGTGGGTCACAGCCCCGGGACAAGGCCTGGCTGCTCCTGGGACACACAGCCAGCCCTGAGGGGATCAGGACACCCACGGACCTCAGGAGGGCTCCGAGCAACCTGCAGATCTGCCCTGAGGACAGTCCAGATGCTCCACAGCCACCCCTGAGACACCATCTGCCACATCTCCCCACGGGGTCCCTCAGTGTTAGGAAAGGAGCCTCAGGTCCTCATGGATGGGACTTGTGGATAACTCGGCCTCCACCGGGTGTGAAAGGATGATATGAACAAGACATACCAAGCTCTTACCTGGTACAAACACTTCAGGCCAGCAGCTGTTTCAGCACTCCCCTACAAGCAAATCCATGCTGAATTGTCAGGATTTCAGGCACATACTTTACTCTCTGAGCGACAAACAAGCCATACCCACAGAGCTGGGAAACTGGAGGCAACCGGTACTTTGTGAGATTCATCTCTGTGTTTGGTCTTCTGAAACTCAAAACGTAGCTGTGAGCAGTGAAAGCAGCAGTAGGAAGGTAAGACAACTGCAGGGTTTTAATGAGGCCATGAGAAAATTGCTCCTGAAACTCGGCAGTGCTGCGGCTTTGTGCTTTTTGGACTTGCATCAGAGCTACTGCACTAGTTCGGGTTGAAAGCCGAAAGCTGTAGGTTGGACAAGCCCCTGGCATTCAGAGTCCCCGGGAAGATGGGCAGGAATAACCTCCCAAATGGAACCAGGCAGCTTTTTAGTGGCTCCATTATCAGCGAGCAGCAGCTGGGCACAGGCAGAAAGGCATCATTATCCAGGGGAAACCACCAGAGCCCTCTACAAGGCCCACTGCTCTCAAAAAAAAGCTCAGGAAAACCTTTCCAAGTGCAAGCTGAGATACAGCAACTCCATTATAGCATGTCTAATCCCCACCTTTTGTAACGACGGGACAATCCTCGGTCCGACGCAGTCCTGAAGGATTCTAACAATGCTGCTCTGTAACTGCCACAGGCTGGGGACCAAAGGCAGCTGCTCCAGCACAGCGAGGACTCCTGTGCCAGGTGAGACAGACCCCGAGTACCACTTTACTGAACAACACATTGATCATCTTCAGGCTTGCTCAGATTTTGTTCAGCCAGCTGCCATCGCAGGGGTGAGATTATGCTGGTTTGGGAGCAGGGAAGAAGCACAAAGGAGGAATTTCTTGGAGGCTGTTGCAGAAGGCAGGACCTGGGCAGGTCCTGGGCACATCCATCTCCTGCTCAAGTCACCCATGTGGCATCTTGGCGAATCAGTGCACTGTGGACGTTCAGGCTTCTCCCACTGCCGATGATCCAGCTGAGGTTGCAGATCCCAACTGCTGTCGCCGGTTCCCTCAAAGGCAGGAGCTCAGGGATCGAGTCATTGCCCACAGCAGGACGAGCAGCTGTGTCCAACACGTGCCTTCATCTGACCAAAGCCCAAAACTCTCCTTCCTTGGGCAATTTCTCAGTCCCTCATGCAACATCACAGGAATATTTCTGGCTATTCAGGGTCCAGAAAGGCTTTGTGAAGTCCTTGCTACTGCCAGGGGAGGACAGCTCACAGGTAGCAGTGACTGATCAAGGGGAAAAGACCCAAAAAGCCTGACAGCCTCAGCTACAGCTCTCTGGTTTTACTGAAGAAAAAAAATAAAGGCACAGCTTATTGCCTTTATCAAGAGCCATCCAGTGAGCACTTCTTAGCTTGGCTGGAAGCACAGTAAAAACCCTCGTGTTTCTCTGTGTCCTGAAGTCTCATTTGTAGAATATAACAGAAATATAGATAAAAATGAGAGTATAGGAATACAAGTGATGAAGGCAGCTCTCAGAACATCTGTGGGAATTGGTTTCAAGTGGGGCCCACTTGTCTGAAGGTTAAAGAAGTTCAGTAACCATCTAGACAGCAAAGGCAGAGTTGTGAAGCTCCAGCTGGATCTCCTGCTGGCATCCACACACCAGGGATCTTCATCAGGGACAGCAGAACACAAATACAGCACATCCCTCCCCTTGGATGCTGCCCTGAGATGCACCTTAATACACAGGAACCCCTCTGGAGTCTGGAAATGCCCCAGTGTTTCCAGCACTGCCTACATCAGGCAAGCAGTGCAAGAAACCACCCCACCAAAGCAGCTCCTTCCATGGCCAGTGCAAGGACTCCTTAAGCCTCTGAAGGACTGGGGACAGTGCACAGATCAACAGCCTTGGGGAGGGATGCAAGAATTGGACACAGAGAGACTCAGCTGTCCTTCTCCTCCTCATCCCTTCTAGGTGAGAGTACCTCAAAACCTGGTGACTGGTGGAAAACAGCCCC